ACATTAATATAGTTCACATGTATTTCCTTATTTTAATCTATTGGACTTTTATTTTTCTAGGACAAAATCTTCCTAAATACTAAGTGTTTAATCTTTTCTTCTGCTGAAAAGACAAGAAGAACTAAATTGGATGCGAAAAAGGGGATATAAAGAAATACTAACTAAAATTTATGATCCCTTGAGAGCATGAACAATACAGGAAAATGCGGTCAACAGGAACTCAACGGTGAACTCATTTTTTCTTTGTGGAGTGAGAGATGGGGAAAGTCGTTTATCTGAGAAGAAAATGCTTCTCTTGCATATACCACTTCCTGCCACTTGCCACTCCTGTGCCGCCTTCCCCTCCCTGTTTTTTTGCACTCCAGGAAGACGTGGCTGCCGGGGCTGTTGTGTGGGAGGAGGGAAGCTGTTTCCCACACACTTTCAATAACAGAAAAGAAAGGGAAAAAGTTGAGTATCAACTTATTTTCATGAAAACTAATTTTATAAAAATGATATCCAAAACGTGAATACAAATCTAACCCTGGAAAAATCGTTTGAGGATTCTATCATAAGGGGTGAAATTAATTGTGTGGTTACACTGTAGGATTTGTGGTGGTGGTGTTATGGTGACACATCTAAATGTATATTTTATTTTTTGAAGTGTGATTTGTATCTTTAAAAAATCCAAGTATTTATATTGAGATGGTCATTCTTTCCACAGTGATTAGATGGCTTATTTTTAATTACTTATTAATTAATAAATATTAGGGTTGAAAGGTTAATCCAGTCTACATTTTAGATTGTTAACACATATAAAACCAGTATCAGAGACTGAGGCACAGCTTACCTTTGGTATTTTTATATAGGTTATCATTTGACAGAGACCCCTCTCAATATAAAAGAAGACTGATCTTCAGCATTGTTATTATTGCTTTAATCTATACACTTTAAAACTATCTCTGAGGCAGGTTTGTACATTTGATAACATAAAGCAGAGTGATGAAAATAGAAAAAAACTCACTGCTGTTGAGTCAGTCCTAACTCATAGCGACCCCTCCTTGGGTTTCCGAGGCAGTATCTCTATGGAAGTAGATTGCCCAGTCTTCCTTCCGAGACGAAAATATAGTACTCAATAAATTGTAGTCACTATTTTTGTTGTTATAATAATATTAATAGCAACATTATACTATTATTCTTTCCTCCAAAAGAGATGCTAGCAGGGTATGAAGCCCAGCCAGTTCCTGTCAATGGAGTGGTGGCTGCTGCTCTCTTTCATCCTCAAATCCAAATATTGTATCAGACTGGATTCTGGGCAATTATAGTTGGTTGGTTATACTTAGGATTCTATTGAATTGGGCACCCTTTGTCAACATTGCCTAACTGGTTTATTTCATTAGTTGACTAAATCAGGTTATACCATCATTAAGTCTAAAAGAAATAGGTGAGATAATCCTGCTGTCTATTTTAAGATTTATGTGACTACAATGCAAAGATTATTTCAGATGAAATTATACATGATGTACGCATCAGTATGTTGGTTGGAGAGTTTTGATATCTTTAGTCGGTGTGGCTAGTTATTTTCTTTTTTAAATCCCTGAGAGTTCTGAGTTTCAAAGTCATGCTTAGATCGTGTAAAACTGAACACACGACAAACATTTTAATATAGAGAAAGGCAATAATAAATATGAATTTACTGAATATACATGTATTGGCACTAATGATAGATTATTTTTAAGGACAACTTCAGATTCAGTACATTGGAAAGTAATGTCCAGAGGAATGTATAGTAAATGATAAGAAACAGGAATAGGGGAGACCTGATAGTAGATACGAGAAGCAAGAACTGGACAGAGCTGGGAAAAGTGATGTGGAGACCTGAAACAACACTCGATCTGTCTATAAAAGTGGCTTAAACCTTTGTTAATATTAGACTGGCTTAAAAGCATGAATTAATAGATGGATCTTTATATTTAAATGTCCCTTCTTTGACAATACACACTTATCTTTTATTCTCCCATTTTTTAATTCTTACCGAACTTGTCATTTTATAAAATTAAATGTCTAGATCTCTGCTTTTACTACCAGCTCCCTTCCAGAATTTCTTGTCTTTTTGCCTAGTCTGTCCTTCAGGGTGAGGCATTTAGGAATCATTCAGATAGTACTCTCAATGAAGTGACCTTTCATGGAACAAGCATGGTATATCCAGACCCAGGAAAGGCATTTATTCAAACATTAAAGTGAAGCTATTTGGTGCCATCCTAGTGTTGCTTTCCAAGTTAAACTTTGGTAATCTCTAATGGCCTTTCTACCACAATTCCACCATAGCCTATTTCAAATCTTTCCAATATTTCCAAGACTAAATCATACTTCTTTCTTCTCTTACTCTCACAGACTTTGTTTTATTTTTTACTACGAAGATCAAAGACATTTGAGATGTCTCCTCCACTCC